TTGATTAAAATTCCCTTAAAAACCTATGCTTTTTCTTACTTGCAGAGTACAAGAGTACAGCATAGTATCTGAAATTAAATCATGGTTTAGAAACAGGCCAGTTTGTTCCAGCCATGTAAGTTTTTGTGAAATTTGTCATGATTACTAGAAATAATCAGCACTCAGTGAAGCTGATGTAATACAAGCATACAGTCCACCCCACAGTCCAAAGCCACCACTGCCTACACAAACTGAAAAGGCCATTACATCAGCCATATTTAGTAAGCAAAAACAGAGATTCCCTTACAATTCAGTAACTGAGTGCTCTCAGTCATGATGAAGATGTGAAGAGGCATCTCTCCATCCTCCAGCTCCATTTCCACTACAAGAAAGTTGCCCATAAGGGTGAACTCTGCATTGCACTCCCAGCATCTGCTAACAGCAGACTTCCCACTCACAGAAATGTTCCTCTCTAAGGGGAAGCTCTCCTGGAGGCTGTCCCCACAATCTACCACACTCTGCTTGTTCCCCATTTGAAACTTCACTGCTGTGCTTGGCCGTCTTCCTTCAAGGAGAATGCTAAGAGGAGCCAGCAGCAATTGGCACAGGGGAAGGCAGCTGAGGCACCATGTGCCAGGAGCAAGCACAGGCATGGAGCTGTCCCTCACCTCTCTGAGCTGCCACAGCTAATGGCACCTGCCTAATGGTGCAGGTATCAAACCCACTGGCTGCTCCAAGACCTCTGCTCCTCAGGGCAGTACAGCTGTTTGTAAAAAAGGACCTGCAGCCAAGGGCAGGGGCTGCTCAGGGGAGTTCATGAATGAGCCTGCACTGTGTTCATGCACAGAAGTCACTGGCACCCATTACAAAACACCTCCTGGAAACATAATAAAGAGATCCCAGCTACTGGCAGGGATCTTAAAGCCAGGTTAAAAACTGGTCTGTTAAATGGTTCTGCAAGCAACACCTCCCTGGTAAGTTGATGTACTCACAGCACCCACCCAAGAGAAAACACATTTTAAAAAGCAAAGGATCAATCTAATTACTTTAATACGGTCCATAACGATGAGCAGGATGATGCTCAGAACTGGATCACCTGGCCCTGTAAGAAGCAAGAGACAAGAGTGAGTTTATTCACCACTGAGTATTGCCCCCCCTTTCTCAGCCACTCACAGAATGCAAACTCACCTTTCTCTTCTTGTCTCCTCCCAGCTCAAAGTGCTTGCACCTCTTAATTGCCAGCATTCTCTTGGACCTGCAGTTGGGCTCCACACACTCCAGCCTCAGCACAATCTTCTTGGTGGTCTTGGCCTGGAAGAGCAGAGTGTTTCAATCAACCACACATCCCCAAGCAGACAGATTGTTGTTTTCAGTGTGAGTTTGTTCCCAGCACTCCTAACACTCAGTTTGTTCCTGAAGTGTAGACAGAGACTAAAAACATGGGCTCCCTCCACTGAAAATAAGAAGGTAAGGATCAGTATGGGAGTGGATTGTTATCTTCACAAAAAGGGTGCTGGCAAAAGCATTCAGTGGGGCAGGGTTGGTTCTTGCAGGAATCAGCCAGGCTGGAGAAGTCTGTTCCACTGAACAGAGCAAGAAACTCACTTTTACAGTGTGGGAGCACAGACCAGCAGTGCTCAAGAGAAATCCAGAAGAAAATTGGGCAAAAGAACCACCTGGAAGCAACACGACTGGCAAACTTCTCTGGAAGGAGCAGTGACACAACAGGCTCAGGGCAGACCTGCAGTTACTTAGAAACTGGATGAAACCTAACAACTGCAGAGGGAAGAATCCAAAAGCTGGGAGGCTGCTGTAGCAGCTGGACAGGGCTGTAACCACCAGCTAAAAACCTCAGCCAACCATCCATATAATGCTGACTGGGAAAAAACAGAAATGGGAATTGCAATGTACAGATAGAGAGTGCCAGCAATGCAGCTGCTTGGTGTACCCTGCTTGCAGAAGCATTTTCTCTGAGGTCTCTCCACTTCCTGGCACAAAGTCAACTTGAAAACCTGCTGCCTAATTTCTTTTCTTCTTGCTGGAAGGCTTCCTGTAAACCCTCAGCAGGACACCAGGGCATCCCAGCAAGCCAAGCAGCTCTATGAGCATAATTAAATAATTCACACAAAGTAACAAATCCACCCAATGGGTTTTACTTCCCTGCTCTAAATACCACACCAAGCAAGCAGACAGCTCCTCTCCCTTTGCCAAGCCCTTCCCCTTGGGCAAGCAGTGAAAGAAGCATTCGTTTCACTGCAAATATCCCACCCAGAAAGAACCCACTCCCCTGCAGCATCAAAGCTGAGAACCCACTCTGCAAACACAGCCCAAGTCACCCTGCAAACGAGGAGCATCTCCATGAGACAGGACAGCAAGGTGATGTACTTGATGGGAGCTTGCAAGGGAGATGGAGAAGGACTTTTTACAAGAGCACAGAGTGACAGGGCAGTGGGAAACAGCTTCACACTGACAGAGATTTAGATTACAGAGTAGGAAGACATTCTTCCCTGCGAGGGTGGGGTGGTCCTTGCACAGGTTTCCCAGAGAAGCTGTGGCTGCCCCATCCCTGGCAGTGTCCAAGGCCAGACTGGATGGACCTTGGAACAGCCTGGGATAGTGGAAGGTGGCCCTGCTCATGGCAAGGGGTCCCTTCCAGCCCAAGCCATTTTATGATGAGGGGACACCTGTACTGCCAGCACAGCACTGCCCTAACACAGCCAGAGCAGAGCCCCAAGGAATCCTCCCTCAGCTGGGCATGTGGGCTGCCAAGGAAGTTCCCTGTTCCTGAGGAGCAACACTGACTCACTAGCTCACTACTCACTCACCTTTTTACGGAAGATAGGCTTTGTCTGGCCCCCATAGCCACTCTGCTTCCGATCGTAACGCCTTTTTCCTGCAGGAAAAACAGCTCTGGTCAGGCAACGCCCCAGGAGATGCTACAAGCACAACTGGCACTTCCTAAATCCCAGCAGAGCCCAGCCTGTCCCTGCACAGCCCAGCAGAACCAACCAGTGCCACAGCTATTGTGCTGCCCCATCCCCACACTGTGCACCCAACAGACACACAAGGTCTACAAATCAACACACTTCATTTATACAGAGTTCTGTGCAGAGAAGGGTGCTGCATGGTAAATTCTCAAAGCCAGCACACAAAGGGCCGAAAATATTTATGCAATTCTGTCCAGGTGGTATTTGTATAATTACTCACGTCACTACTGCTGGAGCTACCACTGGATTAATTTTCTTTCACCTGGACTTGAAGGCCCAGCACATTTCAAACTCCCATCCCATACTCAATAGGCAGGGCTCTCCCTCGGGCTGGCTCCAGTTGAGCTTTCACAGCCAGCTAGGTTTACCCAGAGCGCATTCCCTAATTAGTTATATATTTCCATACGACAAGCATCCAAAACTGCTTCGGGTGGACATGTCTTTAGTCTTTCTCCCTTTGTCTGATTATTTTTTAGTTCTCTTTGTTGTACAGCACATCCTTTAGCTCAAGCTGTTCTCCCCAGCCATACAAACGTTCCCAATCTCTAGCACCGTGCAGGCACAGACACGCGGAGCGCACGCAGCTCCCCGGGCCGCGCCCCGGAGCGAGCCCGCGCTCACCCTGCGCGTAGAGCGAGTCCTTCCCCTTCTTGTACTGCGTGACCTTGTGCGGCTGGTGCTTCCCGCATTTCTTGCAGTAGGTCCGGCGGGTTTTCGGCACGTTCACCTGAAGGAGGAGAGAAGCCGGTCACGGCCGCTGCGCATACGCCACATCCCGCTCCGAAGGCCCCGCTCCTGCCCTTCCCCTTCCCTCGGGCCCTGCGCTGCCATCCGGAGATGGAGAAGCCCCCGCGCCGGCCTGGCCGCCCAGCACGCACCCATCGCAGCGGAGGGAGCCCAGCCCGGTGCCCATCCGGGGCGGATGGCGGCGGATGGAGCCCGGCCCAAGCGCAGCACTCACCATTTTGGCGGCGGCGGCCCGGAGAGGAAGCGCTGGCCGGAAGCGGAAGTGAATGTGAGCTGGCGACCATAGAGAGGCGCGCGCAGCGACCATAGAGAGGCGCGTGCGGCGGGCGCGGGGCAGGGCGCCCCCTGGCGGTGGGGAGAGCAGGCGGCCGCCGTGGGCGGGCTGTGCGGGCCCGGGGCTCGGTGGGGCTGCGGGCCGGGGCTGTGCGGGCTCTGCGGGCTCTGCCGGCTCTGCGGGCTCTGCCGGCTGCAGGCGACGCCCAGGTGTTGGAAACACAACTCATGTGTCAATAGAGATCCTTGTTAAGGTTTCGGGCTTGACATGAATCAGTGATCCCAGACCTGGGTGGAAGTTAACAAGGCATGGAAGGAAGGATTTCCCGCTGATAGTGGGCACAAAGAATGCAGAATTTAGAAGCACAAGAACATTTGGTGGAATTCTCACGACAAGGATGTAACTAGCAAAGCTAACTCAACAACTGTGCTTAATCGGCTCTGAGTGGATAAGAGATTCCAGATGACAACACCAACTCATGGACTACTGACCCAAGAAACCCACTGACCCAAACAAAGAGGGAGACTGAACACGTGGCCTAATTAGCAGAAGTGAGGGAATGATTTAACACTACAAAGTAGAATACTAATGAATGATGTAATCTGTAGCCAAAGAAGATCAATGTTTTCATTTGCTAAAATGTAGAAATAGTGAAAAGTTTTGCTAGTCACTCTGCTGGCTTTGTGAATTTGGCACCAAAAGCTCTTTCCACACAGAACCATAAATAAAAATACCTCGGTTCTGTGTGGGGATCATCCCCATGCACATCGGGTGAAAGAACCCGTTTGGGACAGCACAGGGATGGCCAGCCAGCTCGGCCAACACCTGGCACTGCCCACAGCCCGGGGCACGGCCGCTGGCCTGGTGACCCCGCGGCCACAGCCCAGCTGACTGCAGGAGGAAACACAAATGCTGCCTTTGAGTCAGAAAACTTAAAAAAGGGGAACCGAAAGGGTGGGGTTGGCCGGCCCCGTCCTTCCTCCCTGCGCACCCTGCCGTCCCTGCTCGGCCCTGCTGCCACAGGCACCCTGACCGGAGCTGGCCGGGCTGGCCGGAGCTGCCCGGAGCGCTCGGTGAGTGCGGGAGCCGGGCACGGGCAGCGCTGCCGCCGGGCTCCGGGGCAGCGGCGGGGCCCTGCCGCAGCGGCTGTGGGCTGTGGGGTGGCGGGAGGCTCCGTGTGGCCTGTGCTGCTGGCCTCACACCTCTGCTGGGCTCCCTGGGGCAGGAGAGCCGTGCTGGCGCAGGACACAGGGTGCGGGTGAGGCGGGCAGAGGGCCCTGCCCTGTCCCACAGCCCGAGCAGGTGGCATCTGAGCCCGCCCTCCTGCCGTGGGGCTGTGGCTGCAGCGGGCAGGGAGCTGGGTGCTGGAGCTGGGCGTCACAGCGGTGCCCGGGCTCCCAGGGGTTGGGGTTCTGCCAGTGTCTTTGGCCATTCCTCCCCTGTGCTTCTTGCAGTGGGCCCTGCTGGGGTGCAGCTCTGGGTTTGCTCAGCAGTTTCTCCCATACAGGAGGTTTCCCCCGCTGTCCCTCCTGCCCATCACTTTTGACACCCTCGGGGCTCAACCTGAAACATGAGGGCTGTGATGTTTCCACTCTGTCACCCTCCCCTCTTGTCCCAGGCATGCCAGGTCCCTGCCAGCCCCCCATCAAAGCTTGCTGTGGAAGCGGGACGGCCCCGGGAGCGTGGTGGGACACCGTGCCCGGTGGCGTGAGGCCAGCAGTGTGCAGCAGGCCTGGTGGTGGTCTCAGAGCACACTGGGCGGAGGTGTGAGCATGGCAGGAAGTCACACGAGCTGGCAGGAGGGACACGGGACATGCTTCCACACAGCCACTCGTCACTGCTGTCACAGCACAGCAGTGGTGGCTGCGGGGGCGAGCCCCGTGGGGTGCCCACCCCGCCAAGGACAGGCAGGGACAGGGCGGGTCTGGTGGCAGTGCTGGGGAAAGGGACACTGTGCCGTGATGGGGCACAACAGCCCTCTGAGACACTCGTTGTCCTTTCCCCCCTGGTATTTCCATCCAGAGGATTCAGTGAGGACGTGTCCCGCCTGCCTGGCACTGCTGGCCATGACCCCACTGCTGTGACTCCAGGTAAAGCTCCAGGGACCTGGCACTGTGGTGGGATGGGCTGGAGCCCAGGGCCCCTCTGCTCAGCCCTGTGTCTTTGCTAGGGAGGGCAGCGGGAGCCCTCCTGCTCTTGGGACACAGGATCAGCAGCCACACTTGATAAGTAGGGAAAATGAGGCACAGGGCTACAGGATGGTTCTGGAGTCACTCTGGGCTCATCCACAACCCTGCCAGCAGTCTGGGGGTCAGGGGCCACACCAGCCACCTGTGGGGACCCCAGATCCCTCCTCCTGAGGCCTCAATCAGCACACTGCTGTTTTTTCCGGAAGACTCTGATGACTAATTTATTAAGTGGGGTTTTTTTTGACTACCCAAGCAAGCTGGAAAGGTCTGAGCCGTAAGAGCCACAAGGAGGGAAGAGAGAAGCCTGGGAGAAGGACTCCTGCTTGTCCCCAGCCTGTCTGGGGACTATGGGGCAGGGTCAGTGCTGCAGCAGCAGGGGCTGTGCTGGGAGGGTCTGGGCATTGGGAGGACACCTCTGCTTCTTGTCCTCAAGCTGGGGCTTGCCTGGAGAGAGGCACAGTGTGTGGGACTGGGTCCTGGCATCTTTGTTCCCCACTGTTGTGAGTGAGCAATGCCCATCTCCTGTGTGTGGAGAGTGGATGGAATACTCAACTGGGGAATGGGGGGTTGAACCCCTGTTTCTGGCCCACCTCTGAACCTCCCCCAAGGAGATGGGCTGTGGGGAGCAGGGCAGAAAAGCAGCTTCTCCCGGGTTGCTTTCCAAAGCTGTGCTTATAGGAGGAAAAAAGGGAACAAGGTCAAGGTGAAGGGGAAGCAGGGACTGTAGGTGGTCAGGCAGGAGACAGGGAGCTGAGACACAGCTCCAGGGGATCACAGCTCAGCAGGGGCTCCACACAGCTCACTCATCAGCTCCCCAGACTGCAGGCAGGTGCTGGTCACAGCCCACAGCTCCGGCCATGTGGCTCTGTGGGTGCTGGGCCCACCGGGGGTCACAGTTCCTGGGTACAGCATGAGAGATGGGGTGAGATGCATGGGCTGCTCCAAGAGATGGGCTAGGGCAATTTCCAGCTGCTAAAGACCAGGCAGCTGTGGGATGCAGGGCTCTCATGAGCCCTTTCTTGCACTGCACTTCCCCAGAGAGGCTCAGGGCAGGTTTCCTGATGGCTGGGGAAGGATTTAACCCCTCTGCCTGCTGGCTGGAGGCAGTCCTTCACACCTGGCCACTGACAAGTGCTGCTCAGAGGGGAGCTGAGCTCCATCCCTGCACTCCTGCAGGCTCCATGGACACACAGGGGAAGGATGACTTTGGGGCTACTCCGTGCTCCTGGCAGCACTGTGGCCTTTCAGTGCAAGGACCTACCCACAGCTTTTTAGGGATTGGTCTCCCGTGACCAGCCCTTGCACACTGCCAAGTCAGCACGTCCCCAGCACGAAGAGGCTGTGGTGGGGCAGGAGGAAACAGCCCACACAGGCTCACATGCACAGAGCTGGAGGGGAGGAGCGCCTGCAGGGTGTCACAGCTGGCTCCACGCTCCTCCCCGGGGCTCCAAGCTTCCCCCGCTTCTCTCTTTCTCCAGCTCTCTGTCCATCTTGCATATCCTGGGGGCCTCTTCAGCAGGAGTAGGAGCCATCCGGGTGGTGGCTTGGTCTGCAGGCTGGTGTGGGAGAGGGGCCAGGAGAGGTCACGTCACAAAGAACCCACACTGACCTGCCCTCACTCCTCTGCGGCTGTTTCCCCCCACTGTGGGGGTCCCAGCACCCCCTGTCTGCCCCTGGGGCAAGGGGGAGAGTGCACCTGAGTGAGGCCGAGCAGGTTTTGGGCTGAGCAAACGCCGTGCCAGCATTGTCTTGCCCACAGCGAGCCGGTGAGCGCAGCACGGCGGAGAGCAGGGGGTTGACATGGCCAGCGTCATCCTGGAGAGCATCTTCTTGAAGCGCTCACAGCAGAAGAAGAAAACATCTCCCCTCAACTTCAAGAAGCGCCTGTTCCTGCTGACAGAGAGCAAGCTGTCCTACTATGAGTATGACTTTGAGCGGGGGGTGAGTCTGCAGCCACAGGGGCTGTGCCATGCCAGTGTCCAGCAGTCACCAGCTGTCCCTTGCCAGCACGCAGCCCAAGGGGTGGCTGGACAGGGAGGGGGTCGGTTTGACTCTCTCCAGGTCTCCGCTTGGTGACCCTTTGAACCAAGAATGTCTCTTGCAGCGCCGGGGCAGTAAGAAGGGCTCTGTGGACGTTGAGAAGATCACCTGTGTGGAGACAGTGGCACCTGAAAACAACCCTCCCCCTGAGCGACAGGCCCCGGTGAGGAGGGTCCCAGGGTCCCTGCATCTGTCCCCTCACTGGAGAAACAGGAAGAGTCTCTGGGGTGGTGGCAATGGGGGACAACCCTGCTTGGCATGAGGGGCTCTGTCCACACCATAGCAAAGGTCCAGCTCGATGCAGAGCAGGGGGATGCCAAAAGCTGTGGACCTGCTCCAGAGGAGATGCCAGCAGCTGAGCACCATCCATCTCTGCCTCTCTCTTCCAGAGGAAAGGGGAGGATTACAACAACATGGAGCAGATCTCAATCATCGAACGGTTCCCCTACCCCTTCCAGGTGAGTTTCCACTGCACCCTCTCTGCTGGTCCACTCTGCCTGGTGGCAGGTCCTGCGGGGAGGGCCCCACAGGGGCCTGGGGTCAAACATGACATCACTGCCCCGGTGTCAGGTGTCACTCAGCTTCTTGGAGACATTCTGCTGCTGTCCACACTGCATGGGACAGCCAGGCGAGCCTCTTTGAGCCCCGAGCCAGCTCTGTTTAAGATGGAAACCTGCTTCTGAGCTCTGTCCTGCCCCTTTCAGTCCTCTGGCTGATGCTGGAGGGATGCTGGCTGCACACTCAGCCCCCAGCCCAGCTGCCTGCCCTGCTGGCACCCAGTGCACCCCCAGCACACTGAAAGTCAGAGAAGGAAGTGGAAAGTCTCGGGGGAGGGGGCTTATTTTTAACCTCTTTGTCACGGTTCCGCGAGCACCGTGCGGGGCTGGCAGACACCGGCAGGGCTGGCTCGGGGTGGCCACAAGGCTCAGCTCCCCCCTGCCTGCCGTGAGAGCCCTGCCCGTGGTACTGAGGTGTGTGGTCCTGCAGGTGGTCTATGACGAGGGGCCCCTCTACATCTTCTCCCCAACGGAGGAGCTACGCAAGCGCTGGATCCATCAGCTGAAGAGCGGTGAGTGCGGGGGCTCTGCAGCTCCCTTGGGAAGCCAGCATGGGCACAGCTGTGCCTGTGCCTGACCCACAGTGCCAGGCTCCCAGGTTACTTACCTGTCTGGCAACCTGTCTGCTTACCTGTCTGCTAACCTCGCTGGCTCATGGTTACCTGTCCCATGTCTGAAGGAAGAGCGAGCTTCTCCTGCCAGGAGCAAGCAGACACTGTCACCCTCTGCAACACCACAGCTCCCTTGGCTGAGGCTCCTTGCCTTCTCACAAACCTGCTCCAAAGCAGCTCAAGCAAGCTCAGAAACCATTGAGGGCAAGAGGAAACAGCAGATGTGGCCATACCGCTGTGCTACCTTGGCATGTGAAGGTTGGGTGCCCAGTGCTTTAGGAAACATGGACCACAAGCCTGCTGGGAGCCACAGAGCATCTTCCCCAAACCACCCCGAGCCTTGCTCAGTAATGCTGAGCTAATGCTCAGCTGGCTGGGTGCTCCCTCCTGGAGCTGGGAGTGTGCCAAGGGGCTCCGACCACCCAAAATCTGCTGGAGCCGCCTGTATGTGCCTCCTGGTGCATGTGTGTGTGTCTTTCTGTGGCTTTGTGCTGGCAGAGTGGGATTAGCTGCTTGAGTTGACACTCAAGCAGGGGAAGTTGGCTCGAGCGAGGCGGAAGAGGGGCAGGCTGATAACGGGGAAGTCGGTTATCTCACAAGAGCCCCAGCAGAGCAGCCAGTCCTCTCCCACTTCCCTGCTGAGGGAGGAGGGTTGCTCTGGCAGCTCAAGCCAGTGTAGAATCCATAGGGAAAGGAGAGAAAATGCTGCCTTTTTGCTGTTATTCCACCAGGGAATGGGCTCTCTGCACCCCGTGCAGCTGCTATGGGCCAGCCCCAGGCTGCCAGCAATGTTTAGGCACATCCAGTTGTCCCTCTAGCTTGGGGAGAAGTATGAGCAAGCTGGTCAGCCTGCCTGGCAAGGGAATAGTCTCCCTGCGAGGGAAGTCTCTGAGCGAGCACAGGGTGGTGGCAGTGCCCTCCTCTTCCCATGGAAAAGCCAGGCACAGCACTGGCCTCCCACCCCACTTCTGGGAAAAAAAAGGCTCAAAAGAGCTGTGAACCATGGGCCAGAGCAGCCTGGGGATTATTGGATATTTTAGCTGGCAGGAGGGCCAGGTCCTTCTGTGACTGGCTCCAACCATGCTCATGCCCCTTTGCAGAGCTGCTCAAAAAGCTTAAATCAGATCTGAGAGCCAAGCTTGGCCCTTCCCTGTGGCACAGGGATTGCACAGCCACAGCACTGAAACAAAAGTGGTAAGCTGAGGGAAACCTGGACATCAGGGCTCAGGGGACAGCAGCACAGCTGAGAGGAAATGATTTAATGCAGCTGACCACTTGCACTCAGGGAGCAGAGAGCTCTTGCAGCAGGCTGGGGACACAGCCCTGGGTCACATACATCTTCTCTGCCACAGTGATTCGGTACAACAGCGACCTGGTCCAGAAGTACCACCCCTGCTTCTGGATCGACGGCCAGTACCTGTGCTGCTCCCAGACAGCCAAGAACGCCATGGGCTGCCAGATTCTGGAGAGCAGGAATGGCAGTAAGACACCAGGCACCCTCCCACTGCCTTGTCCCCCTGCCCTGGGGAGCACCGCAGCAGAAAGCCAGGGATCTTTTCTCACCTTAGCCCCTCCTCTGTTCTGAAGGTTTAAAAGTTGGGCGGTCGCATCGCAAGACAAAGAAGCCCCTTCCCCCAACTCCTGAGGAGGACCAGGTAAAGGCCAATGTCAGGGTTTGCTCCAAAGTGTTGGAGAAAAGATGGACCTGGAAAAAGCCAACATGTTCAATGACTGCTCAGAGATGTGCAGGCCAGGACTCTGCTCTGGGGAGGGAGGTCAAGATGGTGACCTAAGGGAGAAGGAGCTTGAAGCCGGGGATGGAGCCCAAAGTCAAATGATCTTAACCCTAAGGTTTCCCAGGGCAGCTGAGAGAGTAAAGCCCTGATGTAGGCTGGAGGAGCCACAGGTTAAGCCAAAAGGTAAAGAGAAAACACTTACCTTTTTGTGGAGATGAGGAAAAATATTTTGATGAAAAGTCCAGGGAGAGGAAATAGGTGTTCTGGTAGAGATACACGTGGGAGCTGAGACAAACACTGCCCTGACCTTGCCTGAGACAACTGCCCTCCCAGGCCTTGGCAGGGTGTCATGTGGTGTGTGTGAGCCTGACCGTGTCCCACGTTCTCCCTCTCCCTGTGGGAAGATGGTGATGAAGCCTCTGCCTCCCGAGCCAGCCCCCAGCACAGCAGGGGAGATGAAGAAGGTGGTGGCCCTCTACAACTACGAGCCAATGAACGCACAGGACCTGCAGCTGCAGAAGGGCGAGGAGTACTTCATCCTGGAGGAGAGCCACCTGCCCTGGTGGAAAGCCCTTGACAAGAACGGGTGAGAGCTCCCACTGCCCATGGCCATGGCTCTGCAGCACTGCCCTGGCCTGGTGCTCAGGCACTGGTGGGCAAACACACCCTTTCAGCACCCGCAGGTGAGGACAGGCTGCCTGCCCACCTGTGGGCTGCCCTGGGGAGGAGGTGGAGGAGGCTGAAGTCAATTGTGGTGTCAGCCATCTCCAAATGGGTTTGCACCAAAGTTTTTGAGCCCATGTCTACTCAGCCTCCTTAGACAGGAATATCCTTTCCTCTTGGCCTGCTCCATCAGAGTGTGACCAGCCCCTTTTCTCCCGCAGGAGGGAAGGATACATCCCCAGCAACTACGTCACTGAAACCAGAAATTCCCTGGAGATTTTTGAGTAAGAGAGGGCACAGGCACCTGGCGAGTTGCACTTGGTTGGAGACATTTTCCATTTGGTCGTTACCCTACTCAGCCCAACAGCCCAGCCTGGCTGGGTCCTTCTCCCTCTTCCACATCCTCTGACAGCCTCCAGCCCCTGGCAGCCATCCCTGCCCTGCTCTCTGCACGCCTGTCCCAGCTGGGCCAGGGTCAGACTGGGCTGGGGACAGAGGTGGCTGTGGAGATCTCCCTGATGGCTGAGTCCTGTGTCCCTGTTCCAGGTGGTACTCAAAGAATATCACTCGGAGCCAAGCAGAGCAACTGCTGAAACAGGAGGTAAGTGTTGCCTCCCGAGGCTGGGTCTGTTCTACACACCAGCCCTCCATGGGCTGTTCTCATGTTGTGTCCAGCACAGACCAACCCTGGCTTTTCTGGGAGAGGAGTGTTGCCCCTACAGCCCCAGGAACCTTCCCTATCCCTGTGTGAGCTCCTCCAAGCAGCCACTTCAGGAGGTGGCTTCCCATGCAGGGACTGGAAGTAGGATTCCTCTTAACTCACTACATCCTTTCCAGCCATGCCGTGATCTTCACTCACTTCAAGTTTTGCCTATTACAGTCACATACAGTCCCCACAAACACCCAGTGCCCTTTCCCCTTTCTGTTTTAGGGTAAGGAAGGGGGCTTCATTGTCCGAGATTCCACCAGCAAGACAGGGAAATACACTGTCTCCGTCTATGCCAAGTCCTCTGTGTAAGTGGCTCCAAGAACAGTTTGTTCCTCCCTCAGAGGGCCCCTCCAGGCACCCCTCACCCTCTGCCTCTCCTACCCACGACACTGACCTCATGTTCTCCCTCTCCAGAGACCCCCAAGGCACGATCCGCCACTATGTGGTCTGCTGCACCCCCCAGAATCAGTATTACCTGGCAGAAAAACACCTGTTCAACAGCATCCCAGAGCTTATCACCTACCACCAGCACAACTCTGCAGGTCAGTGTTCTGGAGACAGAGTGGAGTGACAGTTTGCACTGGCACCAAGGCATCCCAACCTTCCTGCACCGAGGGCAGGAGTTGTGTTCCCTGCTGGGATGTGGCAATCTCTGCTGCTGTGTTTCAGGGCTCATATCCAGACTGAAGTACCCCGTGTCTCAGCACAAGAAAAGTGCTCCTTCCACAGCTGGCCTTGGCTATGGTAAGCCAGACTGGGCTACCTCACAGTTCCCCGGCTAAAGGGTTTGTGTCGTACTACAAAATAACTCATGCACTCACACTAAGATTAAAAGAGTAAAAGGAAGTTACTTTTATTTCTGACTTCGTAATATATAGAATTTTAAATGTGACAGTGGATTGGAGGATAAAATTGCTACTTCTCCAACCACACTGATCAACTCAGCAGCCTATCAATTTTCTCCTCCCACAAAGAAGAATGTAAAACAATCATTATTTACATGAACAGTGCATAGAGAATTCTAGTAGAAATATGTAAACATTAGAAGGCATAGAAAACTTTGTAAAGAACTTTAAAACTTATAAAAGAACAGGGTGACAGGTTTGTTTCTGCTGGCAGCAACTTTCTCAGGCTGGGATCTTAGCAGTCCCACGGTTCATAGCCTTCCAGGGAACCACTTCCCAACTACCCTCTGGTGACAGTATTGACCAAAAAACTCCACAAGTTACCTTGCTCCCACCCCCTGGAGTTACAGGTCTCAGATTTTATGGATGATTTTTCAGGCAGCAAATGCTTGTGAGTTTTTCTTGGGCTTGCTAGATTGGATGACTGGGAACACCGTGCAGGGAGGTCACCTGTACCCACATTACACTCACACTCTTGTCCTAGGATCATGGGAGATCGACCCCAAGGATCTGACCTTCCTGAAGGAGCTCGGGACAGGGCAGTTTGGCGTGGTGAAGTACGGGAAATGGAGAGGCCAGTACAACGTTGCCATCAAGATGATCAGGGAGGGCTCCATGTCAGAGGATGAGTTTATTGACGAAGCCAAAGTCATGATGTAAGTGGTGAGCACCATGCAGGGCAGTGCTGGATGCTCCTTGCCAGAATGGCTGCTCGCCTGGGAGGTGTGGAGGGACAATTTTAGGCAGTCCCATACTCTGCAAAATGCATCCAAGATCCCACTGATTTTGTGCAAATTCCTTTGTGAGGTTTTCCACTCTCAGCTGGGCCAGAAGCACCTTCCCTTCCCAAACTCTCCTTGTTCACAGGTATTTCCTTTGCTCCCTGGCTTTCTAGATGCTCAGAACTGCATTTGTCCCCAACACAGGAACCTGTCTCACGAGAAGCTGGTGCAGCTCTACGGGGTCTGCACTAAGCAGCGTCCCATCTTCATCATCACCGAGTACATGGCCAACGGCTGCCTCCTGAACTTCCTGAGGGAAACACGGCAGCGCTTCCAGCCTGCCGAGCTGCTGGAGATGTGCAAGGATGTCTGTGAAGCTATGGAGTACCTGGAATCCAAGCAGTTCCTGCACAGAGACCTGGTAGGGCTGTGGCTGCTTTCTTCAGGCAAAATCCCACCCGGGAAGTCACCCCTGCATAGATAGATAGGATGCTTGGAGGCCTCAGCTGGTCACTGCTGAGGCCTTTCTAGCTTGCCCCAGTCCAGGTGAACTTGGAGGACAAAGTGAGGGGAAGTGTTTGGTGGGTGGGGATGAGATGAAATTCACTTGCTGCAGGGGGATGGGAGAGACAAGAGCAGGTAGAAGTAACTGCCTCCACTTCTCCATTCACAGGCGGCACGAAATTGTTTGGTGAATGACCAAGGAATTGTGAAAGTGTCAGATTTTGGTCTTTCCAGGTCTGGTAGATGTGTCTGTGTCACTTTCCTGTCTCAGTACCCCATCTCCTCCTTCCATCAATTCTACACATTAGTCTTTGTCCCCACCACCCTCCAGCTCTGCTTTCCCATCATCTTCCCATTTCATCTGCCTAGCTCAACTTTCTGCCTCTCCATTTCCGCCATCCCTTTCTTACTTTCCCTGGCCCTTTCTCCCCTCTCCCTCTATCTTCTTTCCCTCCCCACAAGTCTCCTGGCTGCAGCTTTCTCTACACATCCCCTTTTTGCTGTGCTTCCATGTCAGCAAATCTCTTCTGCAATCCTGGCTAACACTCACATACTGCTGAAACCCATGCAGAGCTGCAACCTCTGGTCATTCTGGGCTGCCCATTCCTTTTGGGCTTGGTCAGTTGTGTGGAGGAGGGAAATGTGAAGTCCAAGTGAAGCACCCTGATCCATTTTCCTGCTGCAGATACGTGCTAGATGATGAGTACACAAGCTCCATGGGGTCCAAGTTTCCAGTGCGGTGGTCTCCTCCTGAAGTGCTGCTGTACAGCAAGTTCAGCAGCAAGTCTGACGTCTGGTCCTTTGGTAAGGGCACAGCATTGATGATTTGGAGGTTGGGAACTCCTCTGCAAACCACGTGCAGACACGGGTGCTCCAATGCCATGAGCTCTCCCTGCTGTTCCCCCAACAGGCGTTCTGATGTGGGAAGTTTACTCCCTGGGAAAGATGCCTTACGAGAGGTTTAACAACAGCGAGACAACCGAGCACGTCATCCAAGGCCTGCGCCTGTACCGGCCGCAGGCAGCCTCGGAGCGGGTCTATGCCATCATGTACAGCTGCTGGCACGAGGTGAGTGCCTTTCACCCCTGGTGCCACCTCCGGCCACCCTGGGCGAGTGACGGGGCTCCCCGGGGCGTGGCTGGGGCAGACACGGCCTCCAGCCAGGCTTCCTTCTTGCCCCACAGAAGCCTGAGGAGCGCCCCACCTTCACCGTGCTGCTGAGCAGCATCCTGGACATCGCCGATGAGGAGTGCTGACCGCGGGTACTGCCCGCTGACCCTGCCCAGCGCCGCCTCTGCCCAGCGGGACACACATGTGCACCGGGCAGCACGGCTGTCATGGACACGGCACGGCTGTCACGGACACAGCACGGCTGTCACGGACACGGCACAGGCGTGCAGAAACCTGGGGGACCCCCACGGCCGCACCCACCCCACAGCTCCATCACATGCTCAGGGCTTCATCACGTCCTGGAACTGCATCACATGCTCAGAGCTCCATCGCATCCCCAGAACTCCCTCACATCCCTGGAGCTCCATCACCGCCACGGAGCTCTATCACCACCCCAGAACTCCATCACATCCCTGGAACTGCATCACATTCCCGGAGCTCTCTCACCGCCCCGGAGCCCCATCACCGCCCCAGGGCTCCACCACATCCCTGGAACTTCATCACATGCTCAGAGCTCCATCACCACCCCAGAGCTCCATCACATCCCTGGAACTCCACCACATCCCCGGAGCTCCATCGCATCCCCGGGGCTCCCTCACATCCCTGGAGCTCTCTCACATGCTCAGAGCTCCCTCGCATCCCCGGGGCTCGCTCGCATCCCGGAGCCCCTCGCCGCCCCGGGCACTCGCTCGGCTGCCGGGCCCGGCTGCGGCCGCTCCGCCCCGCCGGCAGGGGGCGCGCGGCGGGCGGGCGCGCACGCGCGGCGCGGGCGGAAGGGGCGGGCGCGGCACCGGCGGCACGTGAAGGTCGCGGCGCGGCGGCGCCGGGGGGAGCGGGGACCGGGAGCGCCATGGACCCGCCGTCCGCCGCCGGGCTGGGCGGGGCCGACCCCCAGCTCCAGCGCTTCATCGAGGTGGAGACGCAGAAGCAGCGCTTCCAGCAGCTGGTGCACCAGATGACCGAGCTCTGCTGGGTACGGGCGGCGGGCAGGGCCGCCGGCCCCGGTGGCGATGGTGGGGCAAGGCGGGCTGGGAGGCCGCGCAGAGCTTTGTCCCCGGGGGGAGGAGGCTGATGGGGACAAAATGGAGCCGCCGCGGGAGCAGCCCCAGCTCCGGTGAGCAGCGAGCGGGAGGGGGCGGCTCTCGGGGAACGGCGGGGCGGGGAGAGCCACGCGTGGGCAGGGCTGGGATGCGCCCGGGGGGTGGGGATCCCGAGAGGACCGGGACCCCGCGGGGCCGGAGCGTGTCCCGGGGCTGGAGATGCCCAGAGGCACGGCCCCGGTGCGGGGTGGGGAGGGTCGGGCTGCGGTGGCCCCGGGACCGACGGGACCCCGCTGTGTGCAGGAGAAGTGCATGGACAAGCCGGGCCCCAAGCTGGACAGCCGGGCCGAGACGTGCTTTGTGAACTGCGTGGAGCGCTTCATCGACACGAGCCAGTTCATCCTGAACCGGCTGGAGCAGACGCAGAAGTCCAAGTCGGCCTTCTCGGAGAGCCTGTCCGACTGAGCCGGACCCAGCCCCGCCAGGCCAGGCCCTCGCCCATGCCCACTCCTGGTCACGGCTGCCCCACGGAGCCAGGAGCGGCTCGGGGGTTAGGATTTGATTAAGTGCCAGTCTCGGGGAAGTCGCAGCCAGATGAGAGCCCACAACAGACACAAGGATGCTCCAAGTCGGGGTGATGTGCTGCTCCTGGCCCCGCGGGCCAGCGGCCACCTTTGTGCTGGGACCCTGGTGCCATGCAGGGAGCGTTTGGAATGTGCTGAGCAGAGGGTGCTGATGCTCGTTTCACGGATGCTCCCAGCGCTGACGGGACCGGTGAGGCCAGCCCGCGGTCACTGCCCTAAACAGTGCTGCACAAACCAGCCCTCCTGGGCACATCCTCACCTGCCCCGGGCACCATCACTGAGCAGGCTGGGACAGGCACCCGAGTGAGAAGAGCATGTTGGGAACAGTGATCATCCCAGGCAGTGCCACTGCTGGAAAATACTTCCAGGCTTCCATAGGTAAATCGTTCATACGGCCAAGTGACCAAATTTCACACTGCAGCACAACTCTGTCGATGCTGACTTGCTCCATTAACTGCTTTCCCTGGGTATATGTAATAAATATTAACTGGGTCAATTTTTAATATGAGATTCTCCTTTTTTCAGATAGATCACTACTGAGAATGGAAAATCTGGCCTTCTTGTCACTCCTCCTCCTTCCCATTGATCCTATTTATGGCAAAATTAGTAGGAAGGAGGCATAACTATCTTCTGGCTAGAAGGCCTTTTCTGAATTCTGATTTGTTGCTCAATTAATTTGGTCTCATGAATCAAACTTATTTCTGGGAGAGGCTGTGGCTTTTCCTCTTCTTGCCCCAAAGTTTAACAGCTCCTGCTGTCCTGGAGAGTAGTTTCTTTACAGAGACTAAATACAGGGATTAACTAACCAGCTGCTTTATAACCTCATGCACCTTCACCTTTGGAGGTCACTGGCAAGAGGCCTGTGGGTGTGTCTTCTGGACCTCTGCCCCCAGGACACAAAGAGGAGCTTCAAACTAGAAAAACAACCAACCACTGATCAGCTCTTTGGGAAGGCAGCAGCATTTCAGCAGTGCTCATACGCTGCAGGTCTCTGGGAAGCCTGGAGTGACCCTGATAGTGGTCTGGAGCCTGGTAAAGCAGTTCTGCACACAACCCACTGCAGGGGCTGCTGGACAGAGCATGCAAGCTCCCAACATGGGTGGCTTGTAGCCAGCAGCCTTCCTGGGAACAAACTCAGGATGTGTTCAGCAGCTATGCAGATGTAAACCTGTACCACTGAGGACACAGCTGTCTAGTTATCTGTCAGAAACTTACCTCAAGAGCTAAGGACTAGGTTCCCAGAGTAGGTGATTCCCTCTCCTAACTTAAGTTTCTCTGGAGCACTCAAGCATTCTTCCTACCCCTGCAATGCTCCATGCCTTCCAGTGTTCACACAGCCCCTGGTATAAATGTATCACTCACCACTTGGTAACTGAACAGATCAGTTTTTAATAGAGTACAGGAAGCTTCATCAACCTGCACAGCAGACGTTACACAAAGAGGTTGGTCCCTCTGTAAGAGCCACAGCAGCGTGTGGCAGCACCACTGAAGTTTCCCAGTTTGGGCTGTATTCTGTTTTTGGATGTGAATCTGTAAATAAATTCTAGCAGAGTGAGCAAAACCAAGTACTTGACAGAGGAATTTTTGCATTAATACTATCTGAATGTCACCTCTAAAGCCAGACATCCGTCTTCTCTCTGCGCAACCTTAGCACCATGTTAGATCATTCTGTAACTGTTAACTCTGGGTTTAAAAAACACTGTGAGCCTCCCCAGATGTGTGATCTGCCACGGAGTCAGGGTTAGCACTGTGTTAGTGCTGCAGGCCTCTCTGCACAGCCGAGGTCTGAGTCCTGACAAGAGCAGATTAATTCTTTATGTAAAAGAAGAGCAAAGATACACAAGATGCCAGGAACTGGGCAGTTCCCAGCGCTCCTGTCTGTAGCCACAGGAGGCTCCTGCTCTTGTAGCAGCATGTTCAGCCTCAGCAGTGGGAGTAGGAAGCCAGCAGTTCAGATGCTTCCTCACCTGTTTTCACTTCTCCTCTTCCTCCTCCTCCTCCTCCTCCTCTGCACTCTGAGATCCCTTGTCCTCCGAGGGCAGCAGAGGCTGGTGCTGACAGGACTGATGTCTGTCTGCCCTGCCTGGCTGCAGGAAGAGGGGCAGGAGGCTGGGGGTGAAGGGCATGTCCCTGAAGGCGTGCAGGAGGAAGATGCCGGACACGATGGTGAGGAAGCCGCTGATGGAGCCGATGATGTTGTCCAGCACCATGTGCTGCCACTCCTTGAAGAGGATGGCTGAGCACGTCATGACTGCTGTGGTGAACAGCACGTAGTAAATGGGTGTGACCACAGAGGTGTTGAAAATGTCCAGGGCTTTGTTCAGATAGTTGATCTGGATGCTGATGCAGATCACCAGGCACACCAGGAGCACCCAGCCCAGGGGTTCCTGCAGGACTGGCTTCCCAGAGAACAGTTCTTTCAGGGCAATCCCCAGGCCTTTGACGCAGGATACGGACAGCGAGCCAATGGCAGAGCAGACCAAAACATAAACCAGGACATTGCTCTGTCCATAACGGGGTCCAGCCACAAAGATGAGCAGAAGGGAGCTCACCAGGACACATACAGCAAATACAATGAATCCTTGGGGAAATAAGAATTCAAGAACTCCCATCAGAACACAACAGAACCAGTGACAGATATGACTGAACAGCAAGTAGAGATGGAGGACAGGCAAGCAATTGCCCCATCAGCCTTTCTGGCCTCCATCTGAAGGGGACAGGGTTGGAAAGCCTGAGCAAAGCTGCAGAGACAACAACAGCTCATTACAGTGCGATCACAAGTCAGGCTGTTGGAGATACAGACTGCTAGGAGTGCCAGGGGCAGTGCCAGGCTCCACAGCACTAACAGAGCTGGGGGGCTTTTGACCAGTGCAGCAGGAGGCCCAGGAAGGTGACAGAAGGCTTGGGAAGCCGTGGCTGAACTCTGCAGACTAGTGAGATATAAAGGAAAATGCCACACCACAAGAATGCCCTGCCAGTGGTCCCCCTAATGAGCAGCAACATCTACCTGTTACTGTGTTTTTCTCTTCTCCTTATGCTGCCTTCCTCCATCTCTTTTGGCTTATTCTGCCATTTGTGCTATTGCCTACATCAAATCCTTGTGACTTGATTCATCCTTTAACATAAAACACCAGGACTACCTATCTTGGGCGTAAGTCCTTGAGTTCTTCTGCCTGAATTTCCTCCTCTGTCTTTTCTCAGCCACAGCACTACCACCCTTATGTACAGGAATTCCCTCTGCAGTTCCTGGCACTGCCAAAGGCAAATCACTTCTGCTGACAGCTGCACCTCATTTCCCTGCTCCTCACTTTTTGCATCTATACCTCACAGACTAACCAGTAAAAAGCCAGCCCACTCGGTAATTATTAATGATTCCAGTGGGGTGTGCAGAACAAGAAACAGCTCAATTACCATTTAGTTCAGTCCTTTCCAATCTATCCAAGTTGTATGCCACCTTCTACTGTCATTGGCCTGAAGTCAACAGGAATCCTTTTATTTTTGTACCTGGATCTTTCAGCTTCTCTGCCATTGACTCCAGGCTAGAAACCTCTTCTTCCTGTGGAGCATGGATCACCATCACAGTGGATCCCAGGATGCTCAGGATGCAGCCAATCTTCCCGTGAACATTCAGCTGCTCATTCAGGAAGATGGAAGACAGAACTGCACTGAAAAAGAAGAAAAAAAAAGCCTCCAAAACCAATTAGGACAAGAAATGGATACCTGAGGATAGAGAGCAGAGCAACTGCTTTCATCACTAGGGGCTGGTAGGTGAAGTGAGGCTGTTTCTGAGGCTGCTTACCTAACAAGGACACTCAGAGCACCCAGAGGAGTTACCAGTGTTGCAGGGGCAAAGGCATAGGCAGCGAAATTTGCAGCTTCTCCAACTCCCACTGCAAGAGAAACTCCTGTGAGCATCAAAGTGGGAGCAATTCACCAAATACAAGTTTGACTGTAGTGAGAAAAGCCTCAGCTTCCTCCTGAGCATGCCGTTTCTCTGAGATATGTTGCTAACCAGGGAAGAACAGGACCAGCACGAACAAGCAGAAGGCCCACACAGATTCCCTTGGGAAGAGAAAGCTCAATGTTATGCACAGTGATCCTTAGACACATGTGCCTCTACAGTGAGCAGCAACCACAGGAAAGTATTTCTTCCACAATTTCCACAAAGCTGAAAGGCGTCTGTCCTTTTCCTGGAACAGCTTTTACAGCTTTTTAAAGGGTAAATCAGTTACAGTTGGTTTTTAACATTGAAAAGTGTAAAGCTGCTGAAGTTGCCCTACACGGTGCTGGATGTGCCATTATCACTACATCCTCAGGGCAGGCCACTTCAGAAGCACTTAACCCAAACCAGCTAAACCAGCTCCTCAGCTCCTGCTTAGCAGAGAAACTTGGTAAGAGACTTTAGAATAGTTTCATTACAGTGAGATCAACATCATAATCAGAAACTTGGATAAAACTCAAGCAGTCGAACAAAAATGGTAGTAACAAAACATGAAAGTGACTGGAAATAACCACAACCACACTTTTAAAAGGGAAGGCTCTGGAGTGACCTAATTGTGGCCCTCCAGTATGCAAAGGGAGCCTACAAGAAAGAGGGAGAGAGACTTTTTACAGGGGCATGTAGTGACAGGACGAGGGGGAATAGGTTGAAACTGAGCAAGAGTACGTTTAGTTAGATACCAGAAGAAATTGTTCCCTGTGAAATTGGTGAGGCCCCGGCACAGGGTGCCCAGAAAGATGTGGCTGCTCCATCCTGGGAAGTGTTCAAAGCCAGGTTAGACGCTGGAGCTTGGAGCAACCCGGGACAGTGAGTGTTCCTATGGGAGGGGGTTGGAACGAGCTGATCTTTAATGTGCCCACCAACCCAACCCATTCCGTGACCGCATGGGGAGTGTGCCTCAGCACAGTCTGAGCGCGGTACTTACTGCACAGCAGCCCTGCCCACCACAGCCACTCTCGCAGGTACGCGTGCCCTCCTTGCCCTGAGCGCGGGGGAAACAAAGCAGAAACCTCGGATGAAGCCAGAGCAAAGTCTCGCCAGGGCCCCGGGGCGTGCAGCGGGACAGCGCCCGGGAGCGGCCGTACCTGCCCTGGCGCGGCCGCGCAGCCGGAGCAGCCCCTTCTTCTTCAGGACGAAGCTGGCACCGATGAAGGCGCTGGAGGCCAGGGCCAGCCCCAGCCCCGCGCCCATGGCCGCGGCCCCGGCGGAAGGGGCGGCGCGCCGGGCGCGGCTTCCGCGGGCCGGGCCGGGCCGGGCCGGGCCGGGGCGGGGCTGAGCGCGGGCCGCGGCCGCGCCGGACCAGGCGGCATGAGCAAGGGCAAGGACGATGCTCCGCACGAGCTCGAGAGCCAGTTCGTGCTGCGGCTGCCCCCGGTAAGAGCTCGGTCCGTGCCGGCCCCGCCAGCTCCGCCCGGCTGCCGGAGGCTTAACGCGGCACTGCGGAAGCTGCGGCTCTGGCACGGGGAAGCGGGTTGGGTGCTCTGGGTAGCCCCTTCCCGTCCTTTTGAACGGGTTCTCCACGGACTTCCCTGGAGAGGTGCTCCTGCCACTCAGAGCAGGAGGCTTAGAGACAACCTACAGGGGTTGGGAGGACCTTTCTATAAGGGTTTAACAAGTGCTGGCTCTTTAGTTGCAGCGGCTATAAGTGCCCCTATTGCTGTTTGTTATGTGTGTAAAGCCGAGACTGTTTTTTTGGAGCCCAGCGACAGGGCACCAGATAAACGAAAGCACAAGTTCCACCTCACCATGAGGAAGGACTTTCCATTGAGAGTGGCAGAGCACTGAAACAGCTGCCCAGGGAGGCTGTGGAATGTCCCTCTCCGGAGGCATCCCAAACTCACCTGGATGTCTATGCGTATCACCTGCTTCAGGTGACCCTGCCTTAGCAGGGGGGCTGGGCTGCATCATCAGTCCAGTCCCAGTTATTCTGGAAGTCTCTGAGACTGTGCCCTGCTGGGACCACAAGGGCTTGGCGAGGGGAGCTCTGACTGCCCACAGTGCTGTTGAGGTCTGGCAGGTGTCTCTGTCAGGGACCTCACACCACTGTCACAGCTGTGTCATCCAAGGGGTGTGGAGAGCACTGGGAACAGCAGAGCCATGTTAACATGGTGTTGGGAGGAGGGTGCCGTTCACCCTGGGTCTTGCAGTTACTGTCCAGCATGTGGATGGTAGGTGTTTAAAGCTGGGTAGGTTGGGCAGAAGCCTTTGGTAATTCTTGGAGGAAGCACACCAGCTCCTGAAGAATTCCCTTCTCAGGAATATGCCTCAACTGTGCGGCGAGCAGTCCAGTCTGGGAATGTCAACTTGAAGGACAGGCTCACCATTGAGCTGCACGGTGAGTGAGCAGGACCAGGGCATCTGCTCCAGGCACCTCTGCCTGTCCACAGCTGAAGCTGTGCTACTTGCATCTGTTGTCCTGTGAAGTTTCTGCTGCCCAGGGCTGTATTTCCTGGGGTGGCTGTTGAGCAGCACTGACCTATCCCCTGGTTCTCCCCAGCGGATGGGCGCCATGGGATTGTCCGTGTGGACCGGGTGCCGCTGGCAGCCAAGCTGGTGGATCTGCCCTGCATCATTGAGAGCTTAAAAACCATTGACAAGAAAACCTTCTACAAGACAGCAGATATTTGCCAGGTATGACCTGTCCTTCTTGCCTCCACCAACAGCTTAAGTCATTGCTCCCCTTCCAGGAAAACCCTGTACACTTTGTCAACTGGACACCCATTATAACATACCCAATTTCTGTATCTCACAGTATTAGCAGTTTAAAATTCCCCATTCCACTTGGTCTTTAGAAACCTCATTCCTGAAGTGTGAAATGTGATTGTCCTTGTGACAGCTTAACTGCTGCTGTATCCAGCTGAGCTGGGGGTGCAGCTGTGTTTCCCACACCCTATGCCCCCGAATCCCTTTGGCTGACATCGTGCAGTGGGCAGTCACTGTTCCTTCACATCCTTGTGTTCATGTGGGGATTCCAGATGCTTGTTTGCACTGTGGATGGCGATCTCTACCCACCTTTGGAAGAGCAGACAGTGACCACCGACCCCAAGGCAAACAAGAAGAAGGACAAGGACAGAGAGAAGAAATTCATATGGAACCATGGCAGTGAGTAGAGGCTGTGCCAAGCCCCTCCACCCCAGTAACCGCATCTGAGCCAGGTGCTCACAGCTACCAGGTACTGGTGGTGCTGCTGCTCCTTTCCACGGCTCTCTCTGTTGCAGAAGGGAACTTCTCCCTTCTCACACATGCTTCTCTCACTGGGCCATCTGCCTGAAATGTGTTTCCTCTATCACAGTCACTCTTCCCCTGAAAAACGTACGGAAGCGGAGATTCCGGAAGACAGCTAAGAAGAAGGTGAGCTGCTTCTCACCCAGATGCAGATGAAATACCCAAGGGCTAGGAGGGACCCAAGGGCAGAGATGTTAGAGCTGTAACTGTGATTGGGCCAGAAGTCATGTGTTTTCTAACATTTGTTCACTTTCCCTCACCTGAGATGAGGGTGAGGGTAGGATAGTAGATTTAAACACTTCTTTAGGTGTTTCCTCCGTATTTTCCAAGATGCTCCTGAGGAGAAGGTCCTCTATGCAGAGTACTGCTGGACCTCACTCCTGTGGCTGCCTTGCCACACCAAATCTCTTCCTGCTCATAGAGAACAAAGGAAGAAAGACTCACATGGAAATGAGGCTTCACTCATTCCTGCTTTCGCAGCTTAAATCTTCTCTTTATGCATGGCCCATTCCCTTCCCCAAATAGTACCACTGTCACTTCAGCTGGGGGAGTGACAACAGATGGAGCTCAGAGACTGTCTCTGTGCATATGCACAAGCCAGGCAAGGTGTTGGGGAGATGCAGCACCCTGAGGCTGGGAAGACTTGTTCTTCTCTCTTTTGAAGTTTCTGAGAACAGGGTTGAGTGTGATTTTGCATGACATTTGGGAAGCAAATTACTTGAGACATTCTTGTAGCCCACGGGAGAGATTTGATATCACTGCAGTAAAATTCCTGACTAATTTAAAAGTGAAAAATGAAGCCTTCTTTTGAGTGGGATGGGAAGGGTTTGAGTTCAGTTGTTGAGTTGAGCTGACCGTCAACACCTCAAGGACTTTCTGCATAGACACAGAAGGTCTTAGAAAATACGTAATATAAGCAGAAAAGCGAGAGCAGTCAACCTACCAGGGTACAAGAAAGATAGAGTGTTTTTTGGGGGGTGCATAAATTACTTCACAGTTAAATATGAGCAAATTCTGAGCAGAAAGCAGAAGATAAGAGAGCCTTGAAACAGTGCTCTATCCAGAGGTGGAGGCTTGTAATTTGCCAGCACCAGCAGCATGCACAAGGCATTTAACAGTGTCTCTGTTCTCTTTCTTCTCTCTGGCCCAGTATATCGAATCTCCTGATGTGGAAAAAGAGGTGAAGCGTCTCCTGAGCACCGATGCTGAGGCTGTCAGTGTCCGTATCCTTTTAGTGGGGAAAAGAGCTCAAGAGTAGGACAGCACATGTGTGTGACCAAGGGGGTTCTGAAAGAGCAAGCTGAGCTTTGCATGGGTGTGGGACACTGGGACATAAACACACAAGAAGCACTGAAGTTTTGGAGCTTCATCTTTGCCTTGTTCGAAGTTTATTGTTTCCTCAAGGTGACCTTTCTTGTGGACTGTGCTGTTGTACTGAGAAGGAACTGAAATAGTAGAGGGGAAGTCATCAGAAGGGGATGTTTCATCCTGGGTATCCATAGGTACAAGGCCAGACTGGTTGGAGGGCAGTGATCTGCCATTTTTAGCCTCTTCCATCACAACTGCATCTTCCAAGTTCCTCTTTTTCTTTGACTCACCTGTTCCTTCTGTCAGGCTGGGAAGTCATTGCTGAAGATGAAACAAAAGAAGTAGACAACCATGGTTCACTCACCAGCCTGGACATCTCCTCCCCAGGAATGTCAGGGCATAAGCAAGGCCATGGCTCCTCAGGTGCAGTGAGGAAGGCTGTTTCATTTCTAGATGTGGTCCCTGGCAGGCAAAGGGCACTGGCAGGTCATCAGCTGTGTCTTAACTCTTTTGCCCCCCACTAGAACACGATGAACTGCGGGAGATATTTAATGACATCAGCAGCAGCAGCGAGGATGAAGATGAGAGGGATCATCATGACGATGAAGACCTGAACATCATGGACACTGAGGAAGACTTGGAGAGACAACTGCAGGACAAGCTGAATGAGTCTGATGGGCAGCAGCAGGAGAATGAGGGGTCCAACCAGATCGGTGAGTGGCCAGCAGAGCATGGCAGAACTGTTGGGATGCCAGGCAGGCTGTGCTTCCCAGCTCTGCTGCTGCTCTGGGTCTGAGCTCACTCTCCCTTCCAGCCATGGGCATCCAGAAACAGATTGACAACCTGAAAAGTAAACTCCAGGAAACTCAAGACAGGAGGAAGCGCCAGGAAGATCTCATCATGAAAGTGGAGAACCTTGCCCTCAAGGTGAGAGCTCTCCTGGGGTCTCTTCAAACCTGTTTAACACTGGCTCACCATTAGATCCAGCAGGCTGATTTGGAGAAGCCAGGAGCCTTTGCTTGCTGGGTTAAAAATAGCTGTGACGTGGCCATACACACTCCAGCATTTCCCCATGGAGGCAAAGTAATCTGAGAAACGAGGAAACAAGGGGATGGTTGTCACTGCACCATTTGACATGTTGTAGCAGCACCCATTCTGCTGAGAGCACACTGGTAGCTGTGGTCTCCATGTTTGTGTCTGCAGACCCGTCTCCAGGCCGTGCTGGATGAGTTCAAGCAGCAAGAAGAGCGAGAGAAGCAGCAGGTGAGGAAACTCCCACAGTGGAGTGGGAGGTACTGGGGCCCCACACTGCTCTAGGCTTGGCCTGACAGAGTTCTCCAAGTCTTCCACCACAGCAGCTGCTGTGAACAACCATGTTCCAGGTCAGGTGGGGTTGTATCTGTTCCTCAGCTGGGGTTGTACCTGTAGTTGTATGGAGCTTCCCAAGGCAGGAGGAGATACAATGAGTAAGGTTGACTGCAGCCTTCCTTCTGGGGGAGCCAAAACATGTCCAGTCAGCAGTCCAGAGCTGCCAGGATTGCTCCCTGGGGTAAAACACAAAACACAAACCTCTTAGCATCCATTTACAAGGAAGGCAGTGGCTGTAGGATTGTGGCAGATTTCCTGCCTGGGCAGCTCTGTTCCAGCGTGGTACCAAGGCAGAAGGTTCTCA